TAACAAGGAGTAATGGGCACAAGTTGATGGAGAGGAGGTATAGATTGGACATCCGCAAAAACTACTTCACAGTTAGGGCGGCTAGGAGCTGGAACCAACTTCCAAGGGAAGTGGTGCTGGCCCCTACCCTGGGGGTCTTTAAGAAGAGGCTGGATGCCTACCTGGCTGGACTCATTTGAGTCCCGTGTCTTGTTTTGGGGTTTTGTTGTTCTCCCGCCCTGGCGGGGGGTTGGGCTAGAAGATCTACTAGGTCCCTTCCGACCCTAAATCTATGAAACTATAAGGTCGCTGAAGTCTGTGGTGAAGACGAGATTGATGCAAGATAGAAGCAAAGATGACCGTCAAGGTGGAACAGCCCTGAGTTGGAACCAAAGTCACCAAGGTTGGGTAGTCAGATTGTAGAGGATAGTGGTGCAGTTACATTTGTTATCTGGCTGGTACCAGGGATGGTGACTGATGCTGGGGCACAGTTTAAAAGCGGTGGTCTTTGCTACTCTGAGCAGTAGGTGCCAGGGGTCTGATGTACCGTATCAGCAGTTTGCAAGGAGATGCTCAGTCTCTGAGCTGCAGACTTGAGAACCAGGAGTGACCACACCAGTCGCTGGGGCAGTAGCTGCCAGAAGCTTTGACATGGAAGCAGTGTCGTTCTTCCAACTTGCCTGAGAACCATTTCCTTCCTGCAGGTATCTCCCCAGCCATCTGGGTGCACTTCAAAAAGTTTGCGAATGGAGCAATTTTCAGGCTCGTTCTACTCTTCAGAGCAGAACTGATATATTAAAAGTCCATCATTTAAGAGAACTGAAGATTTAGAGTCTGGCAAGTCATAAGGCATTAGAACTTGGCCTCAACTGTAGTGGGCACCCTGGTGTTGAGCAAAGATTCTTTGAAAAGATTAAATGTTTTTCTCCTCGCATACATACGTATGATGTGTTTATTTTATTTTGCAAATGAATTAGCAGGATACTAATTAACTATAGACACGAAGCATACCAAAGAAGCACTAATGACAGGGGTGCAAAGGATGCTGAGGCAAGCAAAGAAGAGACCCAATTTAACTGTCAACCCCAATGCAAAAGCCTAGACTGCCCAAACCCTTCACTTTTACCTTGTACAGCAGTTGCATTGGTCTAGCAGACCCTAGGCACTTTTCCCCAGTCACAGAGAATACATGGTATGCTCATTCCAGCTGCCTAACTTGGTACAGGCAACACCCGCTTAGCTCTCTTAATTGGGTCTGGAAAAGCTGAGTGTTAACTGGAACTGCGTTAAGTGGAACGCATTTTCCTATAGGAATTAATGTAAATAAATAGAATTTGTTACCAGGGTACCATTGCTGCCCGCCTGGGTCCAGGCCACGGGGCTGTTGGTTCCCTCCATGCCAGGTGGCAGGCAAGAGCGGTCACGGCCACAGTTGTGGTCACTCCAGGCTGGCTCCCCCTTCTCCCTGCTGGTGCAGCCCAGCCTGGCTCTGCAGAGCCCCTGCCAGCCCGGGACCTGCGCTCCTGCCGCCCTGCCCTGGGTCCCTGCCAGCCCTGGCCCCAGGCCATTGGTGCGGGCCCCACACTCATGCCCGCTCACTTGCTTCCCCACCTGCCGTCGCCATTTCCCCTGCTTTCCTGCCCACTGCTGCCACTTCTCCCCACCCCGCTGCCCGCCCGCTCGCTCAGCATTATAACAACACTCGCTGAGTGCTAAGTGGAATCGGGTATGAATTTAAAATGAGTGCTATAGCAAAAGAGTACTAAGTGAAACAGCGTTAAGTGGGGGTTGCCTGTATTAAAACTGAAGTTAGACAGCAGTGGCAGCTAGCAAGTTGGTTGTGTAGAACCTTATTTACTTATATTATCCACCCAAGTCCTTTTCATAGGAGGAAGACATCTGCTAATAATTTATCATATTACAGAAATATCAGTAAAGATTTTATAACATCAACAAATGGAAAATGACCAACCATAGTTACAGGAGACTTGCAAATCAGCTATTATTCGAAGGATATTGTTCATTTGATTGGATCTTTGTTCATTCTCCATGATGCTGCCTGAGGCAGGATATGCAGAATCAATATAGATTAAGTCCAAGAGATAAATTCCTGAAATCAAAAACAAATTAATCAGGTATTTTATAAAGAAACAGTCGCATACGTGACAATAACAGAACAAAAACGAACCACCACCTGCCCTTCTGCGTCTGTCCCATTCAATAAAGGGGGGAGGATATTACAAGCAAAGAGCTTGAGATTCGTCTAATCAAAAATGTAGGTGTTGGGCTTCAGTTCTGAGACTCCTTTATAAATGCAGAGAAAAGCTTTAGCCAATGTGCACCTGCATGAGGTAGTGTTTCCAAAGACAGAATGGGCAGGATTTCAGGGTTTACACTCACCAAAAATGACATCCACAATGGAAAATACAGTAACCCAAATGTGGGGGAGGAAAACAGAAATGTCCCCACACCTGCCTGGTTAATAAGGGCCTGATGCCACGCTCCGCTGAGCCCCTACAGCTGCCCCTGGCTCCACAGAAAACCCTGAAGCTCTCATTGCCCAGCATGGCTCTCCAAATTTGCCACCCTGTGACTGATTTGTACCACCCTGCATTTCTGGTAACAGCCAATGGTTAGAGTCTTTAGAAAGATTAATGAAAGCAATGTTTTAGCATTGATTATGTGACAAATTCAAGGTGTTTCTACTTGTTACCTTTTAAAAGGGGGTTAATTAACAGGTCTGGTACTAATCACTGAATTCCTCTACAGGAAAATAACATCTCACATGGGTTTTGCTAGTGTCCTGGCATTTTCAACAAGCACAGAAAGGAGCATTATTTACATTTGACTGGGACATTTCACCCAGAAGGATGAAAAGTGCTTTATGGGATGACAGCTAGACAGAATCAAACGGTGAGCTACACGGTACAAGGTACATCTGGAACAACCTTCAGTCATCTACTGTCACATTATAGGATCATGTTAAATATATTTTGATCAATAAGCAATTTTTAACAACAAACACCTGATACAACAACAGTGGTGATAACAAGGAAAATCAAGTCACCAATAAAGAAACTGCACACCACCTACAACTGTTATCAGGAATAAAACCCCGGCTTCTCTATGAGCAATTGAACCAGCTCTGTAAGCTCTGTTCAGCATTAGTGTTTAGTAATGAAAGAAGGCACTTGAAAAGTAAATACTGCTCAACTTAGATATGTGGCTAAACAGAAGCCTTGGCCTTCCTGCTTTGGAAACCTTAGTTTAAACCTTGTGAAAAGAGTCTGGTAGTTTTCAGCAAGTTGCTATAAACACCAAAAAATGCTATGGTATGTGGTACAATCAGCTGGTCTAATCACTTTGGCTCAGTTCAGGCTCAATAACAAAAAGCATGGCATAAGCTGAAGTACATTCACAGACCCATACAGGGAGGGCAGCTTGCACAGGCTGCAGCATCCCCATCATTAGCAGCACTGCAGGCATCTGACTGTCCTGCAAGTGGCTGAGATCAGAATCGTGCTGCTCCTGCAGTACTCAGGAACGTGCCAGCTACAGCAAAGGCAAAGTCCTTGCCACGTGCAGCAGAGAACGTGCGGTCACATTAGCCATTATGATCCCCAAGTCGCTGCTTCCACTTTGCTCTGGGCACCCAAGCTGTGTCCCCACGCTGCTGATCTGTACAGTCTTCTGTATGCTTTTGGAGATCCTTCATTCAATGTTAATTTATCAGCAAATATACCTCCAAAGCAGGCCAGAAGTACAGAATCCCTGAGAAAAATGGTCTTCTGCTGACACAGAAGAACTACCATCAGCTCAGGAGTTGTGGAAAGGGAGACCATCTGAAAAAGGACTAAAACAATTGTTTTAAATTAATTACTCTTTCCCCCAGCTTTCCATTATGATGTTCCTATACAACTGAATACAGTGAATGAATGAGCACAAAAGAACACACCTAGCAAGACCACAGCAGGTTTTCCTACAGCATCAGCCCTCACATACAGCCACATTTCCCTTAACCAGGCCCTACAATCTCCTAGCACACCAGTCTCCAGAAGTTTTGGGTCAGATGGGACAATGTAATAAGAGCAGAGGGGAAGCGGGCCAGGAATGGCACTTGTGTTGACTTTTCAGGGTAGGAAAGGATCTCCCTGACTGCTCAAGGCAACGTGCACAGCATGAGGAGGGTAACAGCAATCTCTCCTCTTAGGTTCCCCCCAGACTGAAGGCTGAGTGTGGTGCAGACTGCAGTACGGTTGGTTTGCAAAGGCCTGTGAAGAATCCTGTTCATGTGGATGAGCAGCTGCCATGCTCAAAAGAAAAAGTCCATTAATTGTTTCTTTAGTCTTTGCTGGTACCTTAAAAATTCTTATTTTTGCATCATTTACAGCTAAGCTGCAAATCTGAGACCTCCATGAATCATAATGACCCATGACAGGGGGAACTGACAGCACCTCCTATCTTTAGGTTGCCAAACACGTTCCACTGCAAAAGTTTTCTGTGGCCTGTTTTTGAGAAAGTCTAGTGCCTGGATATGAACGTAGTTCAACCTTTAGTACATGATCAAGCACTTCTTTGTTTTTTCCCAGAGGATCTCTTCCTGTATAAGGCTCAGGGCTCCAATTCGAAGTACAAAAGGAGAGAATTATGGTTACACAACCAACTGCACTGCTAGATTTTTAAACTTTCAGGTGCTTCAGTTTGCAGCCTATGTAACTTGGAGTATATTTTTGTATGTAATTTATACATGCAACATAAGACCCTACACCCTTATTAATTGCTGGAAAGTGAATACAACCCAATGCCTATAAAACCACTAATAATGGAAATCTTTGACATCAAATAGTCAGCAGTTTTTCACTTCCATGGATAAAAATAAAGTGCTCTGTTATTAGCAGATCAGATTCTGCTGGTTGCTATACATTTAGAGACAGAAACCACAGTTCATATAGTACTTGCTTAGTGCAAATACAGTTGGGAGACTCATGCTTAGACTGCATTTTTTCCTTGTGTCTGGTAGAGACACTCCCTGTTTGCTAGTCAAAAAGAGAAACAACAATTGTAAGGGTGGGGGGGAGGAGAAATTAAGCATAGCTGGACGTACGTATTTATCTGCTGCTGTTGTTTATGTAACATTCTGATTACAGTAGCCCCAGGGTTGTAATGGCTTGAAAGCTAAAGGTAAGTGGTATATGTCAGCAGGCAAACGAAACAACACGGGCACACACACAAATTTTTACATACGTTTGTTATTTCTATTTGTCTTGCAGTCACATCAACACACAAATGCTGACTTCACTAGCTGCCTGTCAGATACTGTGGCAGACTCTGTGGTCTTCTGCAGGCTTTTGCAAGGTAAATCATGAACTACCATCGTAGTTCAATTCAGGGAAGCCGCTGATTCCATTACAGAGGCCAGCGCGGAGGGAAGCATGGGGCATATGTGAAAGGGCCATACTGAACAGATGAATAACTGCTGGAATTTATTCTACTTTGACATCACCATGCTACTGCAGTTGGCATCTTTCCCTACAGGTGAAAAGTAAATCAAAATGAATTAGATAGAGGTAGAAAGAAAGGGAAGACAGAGGGAAAGATGGACAACTGCAGCTGAAATCACCAGCTGTTCTTTTATGAGATGAAAGCAGGAGGTATTGGCCAATAAGGTAGTAAAGAATGGCCCTTTCTAAAAAGCCTTAAAATACTCTGGTAGCTTACACAGCTTTGGAAATACAAAAAGCTTAGTGAATTTTAGAAGAGGAAGTGTCCTTGCACACATTCTACCTTCTTGAAGCTTTCCTCTAATAGCATAAGATAAATATCAAAAAAGGCAAGTGTACAAGGTAGCTGTGAAATCAGATTGCTGGAGGATGAAAACCAGGACTTACTGTTCATATGTTGGGATGAAAAATATGAAATAATCAATTAATAATATTTTCCTTCAGCAACAATGGTAAGTTTTTAAACCAAAATGGTCTGCAACTGCTCAAGTCCTCTGAGGAAACTTGGAAAACTGGTCACTCTCACAAAATAAAATGGCTTGCCAGCCAATTGGAAGCTTTAAAACCACTGATCTCATCTCATAAAAAGCAGCAGGAGATTCTCTCTGTGTGATGCTTGAACAAGCTGGGTGCCAAAGTGCACTCAGTGCAGTGGTCTCTGGTTTCATTAGACCCTTTCTGAATACCATGGAAGGTCAAACTGACAATGCTGGAGTCACAGACCACAGAACAAGCCTCTGGGTGGTAGAAAACACTCTACACTCACTTTTATTCCATCAAATGTTAAAGTCTGTGTTTATAAGAGCAGCTTCAGAAGACAGGACCACTATTGGTTACCAGCTCCAAACTCACAATCCAGCAAGTTCTGTGGCCAGATAGTCTTTGCTTGCTGTGGAGCTCAGAATCCCCCCAACACACACCTACTTTGGTCAGACATATACACGTACATTCTTCAGATCTGTGGCATTCAGTAATATCCTGGAAGGAAGACAAAAATGAAAGACCTATCTTTCATTTATGCAAGTATCTCAAATGAAGTGATGATGATGAAACCAAGAACTGGAGAGGTGACCGTGGGCGGATCAAATACAATCCTAAGATTTGAATTACCTTAACTAACTCAGATGGATTGCAGATTGGCTGAGGGGTCACACTCAGAGGGTGGTGGTGGATGGGTCATACTCGACCTGGGGGGAGGTGGGTAGCGGAGTCCCCCAGGGCTCGGTCCTGGGGCCTGCGCTGTTCAATTTCTTCATCAGCGATCTGGATGATGGGGTGGAAAGTAACCTGTTTAAATTCGCTGATGACACCAAAATTTGGGGGGAGGTGAGCACGCTAGCAGGGAGTGAGAGATTGCAGAGGGATCTGGATAGGTTACAGGGGTGGGCTAACAGGAACAGGATGCGTTTCAATACGGACAAGTGCAGGGTGCTGCACTTGGGCAGTAGGAACCAGCAGCACACTTACACAATGGGGAACTCCCTACTTGAGAGCACGGAGGCAGAAAGAGATCTTGGAGTCATTATTGACTCCAAGATGAACATGGGCCGACAATGCGAGGTCATGGTTGGCAGGGCTAACCGGACCTTGTCGTGCATCCACAGGTGCA